AGGAATTTGAGATGGGAATTCTGAATTATTTTTGATGATGTAGCTTATTTTTCTTATCTTCCAAGTGAAAAGGGTGAGTTCAGCTCACATCTTCATAGCACAGTTTGGAAAGTCACAAAACCCTGGGTTACAAGGCCTTTGAAGGAGTTATTGACTAAAAAACCACTACTAACAAAGATATTTATGTTTTTAACCTCATCTTTAAATATTTTGTCCTACAGACTTATGTTACTGTGTAAGCTTTCTTACTTAATTGTGTTATGACACACAAACTTATTGAATTCTATTCCAAACTTCTGATTTACTTGTATAAGCACTTTAATTTTTTTTATATCTTAAACTCTAAAACCCTAAACTTTCTTTTACTTTATTTAACATGCCTCTAATTTAAACTATTAATCCACATTCTCACTTCTAAGACTTAAGTTTAGAAACCTTTTCTACAGCCTTAAATCAAATCTTATGTTTAATTTTAAACTTTAGCCCAGCCCAAAATTATAGGAGTTGCTTACTTTTGAAATTCCAGCATTTTAAGGTCTAATTCATTGCAAGTCAAACACTGCTCTTTGAGGTTGTCATTTTAATGAGTATTGTGAGTTTCATGTTGTTGCAGTTAGGATCTGTTTATTAAAAAAAAAAACCCACAAAACGTCTTAAATTTAGCCTTGCTTATTGAACCGCGGCTAAAATCATCATCATGCAGCATTTGGGGTCATGCTGAAGGTTCTTCTGAGCTCTGAGGGAAATTTCTGACCCATAAACCACAACACATCTGATTTTTATTTGTTACATTTGCGCTGTAATAAAGTTTAGTGACAAACGAGGAGAGGGCAGATCTGTAAACGAGTAAATGTGGGAGCTCAGGGAGAGATGGGGCAGAATTTGTCTCGTTTCATATTTCCATTTTTCCCTTTTGCAATTCCATGGCCCTTCTGTCAAGCCTGGCAGATCCTGATGATTGTCCAGGAGATTTAAACTTTGATTTTCACTCCGATTTACCAAGTTTTTATGTTTCTTTAACGTTCTCCCAAAATCTTGATCTCCCCACTAGCGAAGCAAGGACTGATGCCGCCCTTAATTAATTTTCAATCTCCAACCCTCAGACTGCAAAAATATCATTCAGTTAGATGACTTTTCTAATGAACATATCTAGTTCTGTGTCAGTAAATATCTATTTTCACTGCTGTGCTGTTTAATCACGGCTGCCAGCTTGTTTGGAGGGGAATCAAAGTGATGTTCCTCCAAATAACACAAATCATCCGTGCCTCCAACCCACAGCGTTGAATTCCTACCAACAACTTGCTTCTTGTGTCTCCTGAAATATTTCCCATCCCATAAATCAAATATTAGCACAACACCAACTTGTGGCAGCCCCAGCAACTCCTTAGGATGGAACAAAAAGCAATTTTTTAATTGCAGAAGCTTCCAAGTGTGAGACAAATCTCGCGGCTGAGGTGGTTCAAAGGAGGCTGAGGAAAACAAGCACCGAGGTGGGAGCAAATTCTAAATGCTGGAAACTTAATAATTTAATATTCATTATTAAATTTAATAATAAATAATTTAATAATTGTAAAAATACGTTAATTTAATAATGCATTTAATATAATATTTGATATTAATATTGATATTACTAATTATCTGTTTTAAGGAGCTGACCAATCATGTGTAGACCCAAAAAAGGAGGATTTTCTGTAATTATTTCTGTATCCTGCAAATAGTTTGGATACTCTGTGGTCACCTGATTTTTACCAAGGAACAGTTTGCACCTTAAGCAGTGTTTATCCTAAAAGCATTTTCCTTATCCTAAATCTTATCCTAAAAGTTGCAGTGCATCAATCCCCCCTCGATGCCATCCTTTATTCCCGTGCTAATAAAAGGAATCCTGAATTCCTCGGCGTTGCTGGAAATGTTTCCAAGCAAAATGACGCTTATCCTCATTTTTCACTGCTGTCACAAACTCTGCATGCAGAACCCATCACAGAACTCTGAGAATTAAGAGAAAACTTGATTTCTGTGGCCCAGCGTTTTGGGTTTTGGCTCATTTAGCTGAGCCTGGTGCCCTTTTGCTGGCAGAGCCTCGTGTTTGCTGCCCCAGCTCAGGAATATTCCATCAGTCAGCGCTCACTGCTCCAGCACATCCACATTTCCATTCCCTTCCTCCCATTTCCCTGCTTCCAATAATTTTTTTTCTCCAAAGCTATGTTATTTTGAAGCATTTGAGCTCATTCTCATCCCCATCTCTAATGTCTCTATTTGCTGTAGTTGATTTTCTAATTTCATTTGGGTGAAATTCGCCAATTTTTCCCTTTTTGTTTTATTTTTTTTTCCATATCATTAGTGAAGATAAGAAAGAATTTATCTCTCTGGGGGAATATATTGCAGTACTTGTGTCAGTGATATTATAGAAATGATTTTTTTTTCTCCCTTTTAGGGTCCAGGGAAGGTAAAACGGTCAGAAGAAAACCCCTGGAGATTAATTTGGAATTTGTGGGCTGAAGAATGAGGATTTGAGTCACAGCTGACCACACGTCT